CTAACCTCTAACCCCGTAACCCCTAAACCCCCATAAACCCCAAAACCCCTACACCCTAAACTCTAGCCTCTGACCCCGTAATCGGTAACCCCCTAAACCCCCCATGTCAACACCTGACATGGGGGTTTCCGAAAATAGGGGACCCTAATATAGTACCCTAAATAATAGGATCCTTATTATAAGGACCCCAAAACAAGGTACCCTAATATTTGGAAACTCTGACATGCAAGCAAGAGTAGAGTCCCCTCGCTCAGGCAGTCGCGAGTTTAGGCTTTCGGGGTAGATATAGGTTTGCAATTTTTTAGGGTTTAGGGTTTAGGGTTTAGGGTTTAGGGTTTCTGGAATTTGGGTTCAGGGTAGAGGTTTAGCGTCACGACATACCCTTAACTCCCTCTCCTTCGTAATTTCATGCCAGACGCTCGCGTGGCTGCTCGCGCGCCTGCTTTGGGATGGCGCCTGACCATCTGAGCCCTACGCCCTATACCATCTGAGCACGGTCAACGGTTGAGGGCTCTAGCATTTATCGCCCTAAGAAGCCCAAAAGTTTCAGGGCTCCTTGCTAGGATTCATACATGTGTGATTTCATTACACGTCCTTGAAAAAAACATGAAAACAACTGGGCTTTTGGGGTGAAGGAGGGCTTGCAGACTATCCCGAAGCAAACGGGCCAGGCAAGGCACTTTGTTCAAGTCCCTGGACTATCCCTGGGGCTGAGACAAAGGATAGGGTTTAGGGTTTAGGGGTTAGGGCTTAGGGTTTAGGGTTTAGGGTCCATGAGGATCCGTTTTCTGTGTCCTTGCCGCCTTTCTTGCAACTCCGATGGCAGTCGCACTGGCACGGGTGTTCTAAATCAGAAACGGAAGTTTCCGAAATCCGAGGACAAAAGTAATGTAGGGGCGCCCGAATATTTAAATAGGGTTCTGGGGGCTACCTATTACAATGATAGTCTAATATACCCCAAACCCTCATTCATTAAGGCCCCTATAATAATTATATATGGTGCTAGACCCTGCATGGCCTCGTTCGCCATCGGCGCCCGCCATCTGGGCAGAGAGGGTCTTTGTTTCAGGGGCCGAAACCGGCTCCCGCACTAAACCCTAAACCTCAAACCCTAAACCCTATATACCCGAAACCTGTTCCCGCACTAAACCCTCAACCTTAAACCCTATACCCGAAGCAAGGGAGTCTACCTTAAATTGCAAGCCCGACATCCCATGCAAGACCCGACATGGTAAAGTCGGGCACCCCTTGCCGCTCCCAGTTCGCCATGTCATGGCCGTTTGTGCTGGGGAAGCCCATATCCTTGAAAGATTCATACTGTAGGCGCCAGTATCCTTTGAAGATTCATACTGTAGGCACCTAGTTGAGGCAGTTGCAGTTCGCTTTTTGAGCTACATTGCTGCGGAACCCCGAAGCCTGAAACCCCAAACTGCCCTAAATCCCAAACCTGGCAAACACCAAGCCACAAGTCGGGTAACAGTTTAAGTGCGAGCTGTCGGGTATATGGCATACACGACAATAAAACTAAAAAGGAAAGGCTTTGCGAAGACCTCAGGCTTCTATAATACAAGCACGGAGCCTTCTGAACCTTCAACCGCAACAGCCCTAAACCCCCTGAATTGCATAAGCCAAGCTTCCCGAAACAGACCCTAAACCCTAAACCCTAACCCTAGACCCCTTAAGCTCCAGCCTCCGGCCCAGGGCCCCACGGCCCGACCGGCTAATGAGCAAAGGCCGAAATTCTGCGTGGGGTTTAGGGTTTAGGGTTTAGGGTTTAGGGTTTAGGTTTTGGGTTCGAGATCGTTTTTGGGCCGAAGGGTTCCTGTAAGGGTTCCTCTGAGGGTACGATCTGAGTGCTATAGGTTTTGAGCTTTCTTGGGCGGCCTTGGAGGTTGCGGGTTCAGGGTCGAGGGTTTTTGGGCTTAGGATCCAGTACTTGGGGTTTGGGGGGGTTAGGATTTCAGGTTTGGGAGTATGCCAACACTTCCTGAACAGCCGAACACCCGGCTGAGCTGCACGTGTTGAGTGGGGTAATTACTTCTTGTCATAGTTCTTGACATCCTGGAAGATGTTTGAAAGAGGCACCACACGAAGGAACCTGCCTACTGGCCACAACTTAGCTTTTTTGTTTGCTAAGTTCGTGCGAACCCAGAAGCAAGGACCCTAAACCCTAAACCCTAAACCGTGGCCCCGGTCCTCAAAAGCTGGGTCTGTGTAGCATCTTCGGGAGCCTTTCATTTGGGTGTAAGATAGGGGCCTTAAGAATTAGAATAGAGGCCGAGGTAGGTCATGGGCGGTGGGGGCCCATATATATATATATATGTATACACACATATATGTATAGATTTCATAACAATAAAAATAATAGTAATAATAAGACTAAGACTAATATTAATAAGGAACCCCCCCAAAAATAATATGGGTAATTCTTGAGGCCCGTATATTTCACTGCAAGCACTGAACAGGGTGCTTGCTTGAGGGATGCACAGGCCTAGGATGTCTAGAGTCTAGAGTTCAAAGTGCAAGACAGCCACCCTTGATTATGCAAAGCCGACATTCTCGGAGTTTGCTTTGCGCTTGCGCTTTTGGCGTTACCCCCATAGTAG